TGCAGAAACCATACTCTGTAAAAAAATGCCTACACATGTACCATGCACTTTTCTCATTGATTTTCGATGCCCTCAAAAAATCGATCATATTTCATAGAAAACATGCAAAAAATATTCACTCTTTTTCCATTCGGGAAAAATGACGTCTTTTTCGATTTTATACTTGAAGGAAGGGTATAATTCGGTCTTCGAAAACTTTTCCCATTCCCGAATAATTTTGAATCCGACCTACTGTTACACTTACATTCAGTGTTTCCAAACTACAAGCCGTATATTTTTCGCATACGGAGAACTACACATTTCTCTGCGGTATTAAAAGGAGACCATATGGATTACATAAAATTTAGCATTGAATTTGATCCATATTGTTAAATTTATGAGCTACATTCGTAAATGCAGATACATGACGTTTTATGAATGGCCATTTCACGGTATTAAAAAATCTCACAATTAGCATCTTTTTTTAAAGCCGAATTATACCCTTCCTTCGAGTACGAAATTGGAAGAAGATGTAATTTTCTACCGAATGAGCAAAATTATGAATATTTTTACGCATGTTTTTCATGAAGTATAGTTGGATTTTTTTGGTCATCAAAAATCAATGAGAACAATGCATGCTACTCAAGTAGTCATTTTTCCAGAGTATAGTATTTTCAGGCGACCCAAAAGAAGTTCGACCGAATACCGACATCCCCAGGTAGCTTAATTATTATAGAATTATGTTGCAAGATGATTAATTTTAAAAACCCTACCTAATTATTCTTTTCGAAGCGAAAACGCATTTCGGGATTTCGGTTGGCATTTCATGAGTTAACCTACCTACTGTAGGTGGTACGTAGTTTGCGCAACTAAACGAAGACGCTCAACTACTTTCACCTCAGCTGCTTTCACAGAATGCTGGAGCTGAGGTGGAAATACGGAATTCCAGACACGGAAGTCATGGAGGAGACCAGATTCCTGATTCCTGTATAATTGCGTCGATGTCAACGTTTACGGAAACGAAATGGTCAGATAAGAAAAGTTGCCAGGCAACTCTACATCCCCGCCGTAACCATTTGGACCGCATTCTGCAGATCTGGTGACAGGAACAGTCCCGTGACGCTTCTTTTTCACTGGAGTAGCTAGGCATTGATAGAATAAAGTGTGGTAAAACTCTATTTAGCGTTGTTGGGCGGACACTTAGAAAACTCTAAGACTGAGAGGAATAAAGATTTTTTGGTATTTTATCTAGTATTTATTCTTTTCCAAAAGTAAATTCATCGACGAGGCAAAAATACTAACCACATCGTTCCCAGCAAAGAGATTCTTCCTCAGTCCCTCGAAAAGCGAAAATGTCTAAACCTTGTTTTGATACTATGTGGCCTTGAATTCCGTTATTACTTTACCAGCAAATTTACGTTAGTGCAGCCCATGTTTACCTCCCATAGACAAAAGAAACGTATACGACCACCTACTGCAATGGTTGCATATTTCTCCTACACCTGAAGTTATTTATCATGCAAAGTCTAACTCAATAATGTCTGTAGGATCATTTTGAGGCGTAGCTTACGAGCGCGAGAATTCGGTGTCTTAACCGGTAAACCCTACTTTTTGTTTCATTGGTTTTTTTGCGCAGCTTTTCAATTGCAACACAATCACGTCGGATTCAAAGCGCTTTTGTTATTTGTAAGAAATTTCTGTATAACTTAAGGGTTGATGCTAACTCAAGAAGGCGTCGAGACACGAGCGTGTTTTAGTTACTACTGCCATAGTCAACTGGGTCAGAGGTGTATATGGGACTACCAAATTTTGACTTTCAACTCTACTGTTTGGGTAACCACTAAATGTCTAGAGGGACCATTGGTATCATGATGGAAGCATAAACGTCCACTTCCCCTTAGTAATCAAGCAAACAACCAAATGCGTCCAGAATGATAATAAGCTTCTGAATAGGTAAAGCCCCCATTATCTTCGTAGAAGTACATACAACTGTCCGTCTCTAAGGTCGTTTGGTTTCCAGTTCAACAAGTGTACAGAAATCGGTAGTATTACATGACAAAAATCAAAGCTTTCGTTTATAGGGTAGTAAGTCATTTTCGCGTCTTTTGTTGTGATCGGGTCTTGTGTTGATCGGCCAAAAGTTCAACAAAGAAAGGTCTGCCGCGCGAACTGTAAACTTCGTTTTGTTCAGCCGACTAAACCTTTCGAATGCGCAGCCGTTATATTTCCTTAGACCGATAACGGTCCTTTAGAAGGCTATGTTTCACGAGGATGGTACGACTGTTTGTTCACTAATGACTGTGGACGCGATATTAGGGGTCTTCTTTAAACCCTCAAAGCTGAGTCCTGGGGACAGTGTCACTTGGCGTCATGATCTACCAAAAGTCTGTAACTTAGATGTATCACGCAGTCTTTCATACCCACGCAATTTCTTGTGTCGTAGTGTAATGTTCTTTTGGCATCTGCACTCGAAAATGCCCATCCGAGGACTTTAACCGGACAAATGCGGCAGACGGGGTTTAAGCTTAACCACGAAATCAAAGGTCATGGAGACGGAATTGCCAAAGCAAACTTTACTCCGGCAAGGAGTGCACAAATGTTTCAGAGATCGACAGCAGCAAAAGTTCCACCAGTCCTCGAGCCAGCCGGTTGTCAGCGCGAGGAGTGGGCGCGCGCGCCTGAGTCATGTCCGCCTGCGGTCAGTCTAAGAAGACCAAAATATGGTTCGGCGTCATGGTGTCTCGAGCGCTGAGTCAGCCTTCGACGCAAGCGCCTGATTGGCATGGCGTTTCGGTCTCTGCCGCCAGGCCAAGTAGCTTATCATAAGACCACTACCCATCTGCCACCGGAAGGCTTATAAATAAGTTGAATTAGTTGCAACTGGAAGCAGAAACACGCCGGCGAAATAGGGCGGCAGGAGCGAACGAGAGACCTCATAATTATAGTCACCTTAACAGCTGGGTTCTGCTTTTTGGACTAATCTAGATGTTGGAGAGGGCTTTTATGGGAGTAATGCGCCTTTTCCTCGATTCAGCTCCAAAAGCGGGTCGGGCTAACAAAAATGTACGCATGTTTCTAGTCTGATCTGCGGAATATTTAATTGCAATTAATTTAAGGCACAGAACTCTCAGATTTCCATCTAAAAGGTTACCGCAAAGGTGCCTATGTACCTAATGTCTTAAGCCCCATATGTAGTGCATTTCCACCCTCCTAATTCGGATTTCGGTTTTACTGTTGGACTTTTATTCCCCCGTTCGCTTTACCAGTAACATCTTCCCGAAATACCTTCCCTGATGCCAGTGACAAGTGTCACTGCTCATCTCCGTGTTGCGGATAAGTGGTCTAGCGGCTGTTACATCCTTTTGCCTAAGGGATTATATTTGGAATTAAGTGTATTACTTGGCACTATGAATGATAACGATATTAACCGACTGCCCCAGAGCAGACTCGCAGAAGAAGACTTGAGTGCAGAGAGGAAGAAGCATCACTACAGTGGGTGACCATCTCATGAAATGTTGGCCGAAATTCTGAAATGCGTTTTCGATTTGGAAGGATGACTTAGGTGGGGTTGTAATACTGATTATCTTGCGGCATAAGCCAGTAATATTTCGGACTGTCCAGGATGTCGGCTTTTGAATGCATTTCTTTTCAATCTCCTGCAGAAACCACACTCGGTATAAAATGACCACTTAAGAAGCATGCATTTTTCGCATTGACTTTCGATGGTATTATAAATTCAAATATATTTTATAGAAAACGCACACACAAATATCCTTTCTTCTACTCATTCGGTGGCAAATCACGTGGAATTTACATTTTATGCTAAAAACAGGGTGTATATAGGTTTTAAAAAACTTTCCAATTCCCGAATAATTTTAAGCCAGATCAGCCGTTGCATTAACGTTTAGCGATTTCATTCTACAAGGCGCATGCTTTCCGTGTAAGGAAAATAATTTATTCCTTTATGCCTTTAAGGAGATACTAATTAGAGTTCACAAAATTTCGCAATGAGTGCGGACTATATTGTACATTTTATGAGGAGCAATGATAAACAGACAGGTGCGATGCTGTATGAATGTACATTGCACGGTCTTAAAGATCGCATAATTAAAAACTTCTTTAAAGCCTAAATATACCCCGTCTTCAAGCATAGAATGTAAAGTCGACGTGATTTTCTACCGGATGAGTAGAAGAAAGCATATTTTTGTGTATGCTTCTATAATATATATTGAAAATAATTGAACCATTGAAAATCAATGCGAAAATGCACGCTACTTAAGTGGTCATGCTATACCGAGTGTGGTTTCCGCACGAGATAAAAAAGAAGTACATTCAAAGGCCGACATCCTGGCGAGTCCGAAATATTACTGACTTATGCCGCAAGATAATCAGTAGTACAACTCCACCTAAGTAGTCCTTCCAAATCGAAAACACATTTCAGAATTTCGGCCAACATTTCATGAGATCGGTCACTCACTGTACCTCTAGAATTTACCACCGAGCCGTGTGTAGAGTGAAACAGCACTGCAAGAAACCCACTCATCCCCAGTCCTTATTTACCGATACCAGTGGTCTTATCCTGACTAGTGAGAACGTAACTGCCTGACTTCCTTCGAGGACTGTACAGTGAGCCCCAGTACGCAACGGGATGAGCAGGCAGCGTAGCCCGATCGGTGAACGCACTGCCAACATAGAGGATGTACTGACAAAGCGTTTAACGGCCCATGTTTCAGTCCACTGCTTTGCAAGACACGGGTTCTATCCCGTGGGCGTTCGCACGCACCTACCAACAGTTGACTTGATGAGTGACTATTCTCTGGCTCGAAGCTAACATAACAGCACCAAGACTACTAGATAGGCTATAGACTTTACAGTAGAAGACAACTGTTCGTCGCTGGATCGGGGAAAGATAACGGGCAGCAGAATTGAGACTTTTATTCTTACTGCAGCACTGTCAAACGTGCTCTTTGTCCAATACGTTTAGCAGTGTGAACACAACTGTCTCCAAAGCAGCCAAGTTATTAGTTTTTATCCCATCGAAGGGCTGCAAAAGCGATTGCCACCCAGCGTGGTGAACAGGTTTCAAAGTGTTCCGGCCGGGTGTAGACTCGGTAGCCGGCCTTGTGAGCCACTGAAATATAGTACCTTGCATTGTCAAGTCGTTTGCCTCGCAAAAAGTCTTTCGACGCCATGCCGTTTGTAAGATTATTGAGCACAACAGCAAACAAATTTTCATCTGCGATTGCTCGATCACTGAAGCTGCGCAGTTCAATTGGAATGCCGGCTCGGCTCAGCTGTTCATTGGTCCATCGTAGGAGTTCGTACTCGTCGTAAGCATCTCGGGTAAGGAAGCTTCGGAGCATCTCCAAGAGTAGGGCTTCACAGATAGCCAGATCACTGCGAGTCAGCCGTTCTGCATCCAGACTTGGTAGTTTGAATGGATACCCTTGCACCAGTCGCACAATACAGGTATTGTTCTGCAGAAATTGGGCCTCCCTTCGAACCAGATCAAACTCATAAGTGAACTTCACACCTGTTGTAAATCCTGGTCGTAGAATCTCAAACATTTGTCTGGCAATATGGCCATCCCGTAGGTTGCTGATTACGTGCGTTGAGAAAGGTTGAACATCGACAGAATTAACAAAGTTTCGAGAAGATAGTTCGTTAATACTCTCCTTGGAGGCGGGACGGTCTCCTGCTCCGTAGGTTTTCATCTCCCCAGCGAAACGGTTGAAGAGGAAGGCCACGGTGATGAGATGGAGCACACCACGCGTCTCGCGGTTGGTAAAGGAGTTAATAAAGTCGTCCTCACAGAGAAACATCTCGGCTCCAAGCTCACGCAGATTCTGCAAGACGGCCTTAGCGCGATTCAACAACTGATTGTCCAACAGAACCTGGTCTGGTGGTAAGAGTCGAGGACGCACCGTAACAGGAGCAATTTTATACAGTAGGTAAGCGTAGACGACACAGTCCGACAAATCGTAATCAAAACTGGTTAGCGTTTTAGTTACACCGGCGCTCTTCAGGTGAAAGTTTACATAGCGAGTTAGGATGTCTTGAGGTGACAGACAGCGAATATCGTGAAGGTCCTCGTGTGCCAACTTCAAGGTAAACATCTCTGGGTGTTCATGAATGTTGATCTTCCGAAAATAGCCCTTGAGGATGACCTGTTTGAAGAACTCAAGACTGGCCAACTTAAAGTGAGTCCTGCCGCCCATCAGGTCGTCAACGGCAATGGTACGAACGGCGCATCCATTGCATCTTGCAGCGGTTAAGGCCAGCTGAATATTCTCTACTCGATGGCTGGCGTAAAAAATGTTCGTGCTTTTGTTGACGGCTCGCTCATCAATGGCGTCTGGAAAGAGTTTATTGACGATTTTACATAGAACAACACCATCTTTGACGGCATCATAGAGTTTGTCGCTGTAGGGGTCGAGGGGCATATACGCCCGACAGTCCGGGTCACCTGTGAGGTTTTTATTGATATACCGGCAGAATGCCTGCCTGAAGCCGGCTTCATATACCTTGTAGTAAGTAAAACAAGCAAATGTTAATATTTACAGAGAGAAGGAGGATGCGTTCGGTCGTGGCCAGGTAACCAAAACCATTTTCGTAGTTTTATATAATAATAGCAAACAGAGACATCAACTTACACGAAAATATTTATAAAGTAAATTAGTCACCTCCACAGTCTAAGAGCCCAACCCGGTGAGGTAAACGCTCCTTAGTCTTGTTTTTATAGATTTTTTCTCTTTTAAAATCAAAAAATCACCAGCCTCCGTTTCAGTCCTTTTTCCTTTGAAGGTATCTTTCGCTTAGATTTTATCCAGGACCGGACAAAGGTGATAATCGGTTGGATAGCTGTCGAGAAAATATGGGAACGAATTCAATTTTTTTTTCTGAGTGAGTCTTTCAGTATACAAAAATAACGCCTTCCCTATTACCTAGTCCCGGTTATTTTTGAAATAACGCATTTTTTACACGCTCCGACGGGACAAAGTAGAGCTAAGGCGAAATTGTTCGAGGATTTTTGGACCGCTTCTATACTGTTAGTTTTTTAGCACACCAATTGCCAAGCATATCTCTTACTATAAACTCCTACGGCTTTTGAACCAAGTGTAAATTCATAAAGCAAACAAGCTCCGATTGGACTTGTTCCAGCGGACAATTTAAGAAGGGAGGGAAATCATAAACCCAGAGATAACGTAACAACAAAGTGTTACAGTTAACTGACGAATAAGCATGTTATATAACGCGCGTAATCACACGGACCTGACAAGTCTTTACAAGACTCACCTGATAGTCTTTTTTACGGTGGTCAAAATATTAGGTTTTGCTAACTTTAGATCATCAAAATTCAACAGCTTCCTCCGACAGCACCTATCCTAACCCTAAACTCAACCCTCAGTTCAATCCTTAAAACTAAACTCGACCCTAACTTATATATAAACTTGACCCTTGATTCTAACTCTCATATCTAACATTGACCACTAATATTGAAGTTGGACTAGCATAAATATTCCCCATAATATACAATCCCCCCCCTTACCCTATAATATTTCGACCGAAGCAGAGACGGTGACTTGCGCGTGATTTAGTTTATAGTGAGTGTAGACTTGCGCAGCATCTACCACACTCTCTCCTGCCCAACACGGACCTGGTTTCAAGACAGAGTCAAAAAGACCGGAGACGGGGAGGGCGCAGGTTGATGGCACTGTCGATTTCGCACTTTGGCGTTCCACTCCACACCCACTGGTCCACACGGCAAATTATCAGGGTTTTAGCCATCAACAACAACAACAATGGGGGGGCGGCAGGTGTCCCAATGTGCGCGACATCAACCGGCAACTGGGTCTGCCACCACGGCCTGAAATGTCGGCATTTGTTGTGGTGCACATTCCGATAACGCCTGCCAGAATCCGATGTGGCCTCCGTGTTGGTCCAGCGCATCTACCATGTGGTCCGTTTGGGGGACATCCCTTACCATTTAGTACCTTATGCAATCTCTTACCGGGTTAACCGTTACGAAATATATATAAATAGAATAAGCAGACAAGTTTTCGATATAAAGACTAGGTGGGGCCCCATGCGATACCGCCGTCCAAAGATGGAACAAAAAGAACTGCCTAGAATTTGAACAAGATATTGTAGACCTATGATAGAACAACAACGTTGTAGCCATGGCAGCACCTGGCGAATAATCACTTTCACTCGATTTGGGCGGATGGAATTTATTGAAGGCTCACGAACCCCCAAACCTAGGAGTACAATGTAACCGGCGATATTATTGGGCTCAATGAGAAGGGGAAAGTCCCTTTTTAAGAGGTGACTAAATGCATAACGCCTTTCGCAATCTGTTATTGGGCAAAGCATAAAGAAACATACCCAAGTAAAATAAGCAAACAAATCTTAGGTATAGCGACTAGGATGGACCACACACGATACCGTAATCAAAAAAAGGTGATGTAAGTGTATGTGAATACTCCTGGCCACTAAAAATCTACTGTAAGTAACATAAGAGCACTTATACGGGCCTCATCATGTCGAATGTATATTTAACCTGGATGATGCAGACGAGCCAAGGCTTCCCCAAATTAGAACAGTCATCTTCGACAACTATTTTCATTGGTTTTCTCAGATTTTTACTTTTTTAATCCTGGTTATTTTCTTGCCAACTGGGTCTTCCAACTGCGATGACTTTTGCCGTCCACTCTGAGATGTGATTTGCTGGCAGTCTGACATAAAGGTTACCTCATGCAGGCTATCCCAGTTGTTATGTCAGCCGCTGTTTAGTAACATGTGCCGGAGTTAAAGTAATTCAATCTGCTGGAATTTATGCGCCTCCAGTAGTTACGCCAACTATTATTGGGGAGTATGAATCAGAGTACTTCAGACGGAGACGGTAGCACTAGAATGCTAAACAAAAATTCTGGTCCGATATTAGTCTGATTCAGTGGCCGTCCCTAACGGCAGAATGGGCAAAAGAATTTAAGCGTCCCAATCGCAAACTTTTCGCGTCTTTTCAACACCCCCTTAAAGGGCCCCCACTTGTCAGAAAGACTTTCAGGAAGTTCGTATAATGAATACTGGCAGAGCAGAAATCGCCCTCACGCTGGCCAAATCAGGTAAAATTTGTGAACACTTTTCATCTGTCAGTAAGTCAGACACCAATGCCTTGCTCCAGTCAGTGAGTCACATCACTGACTGCTGAGGTGCATCCTTCCCGGCCAACTTATAACGACACCGCCGAGGCCGTGATTGCAGGAATGTGTGGCATCAGTCACACACACGTCCGCTTCTGTTGTCGGATTGCGTGCGCCAGTTATCAACAGGAATCTGACCGTTTGGCCCAGCAACCACCTTCTGCAGCATGTGCTGTGGGCCCATCGTCACACCGATGCACCATAACGGCTCTCAGGACGTGCATAAACATGCAAGGTCTTGCCTATGCCAGCGTACAGAGCAGAAATGGCGGATTTCCGACGGTCAACGGCCAAAATGACCATAAACTTGACACTTGCAGTCGAGGCGTCGTACCCCTGAAAATGGTGTGAAAATGGCCACCCTCGGAAATTCCCTAGTTAAAACTGAGGAGTCGATCGTTGAGAGGAAAAGTTTAATCACTTAAACTTTCGGGCGGGTTCGCGGGTCCATGGTCAGAGATAGGAAAAAGTGAACCGAACAAACAGCTATGCACAATGACAGAAACGGTCTGATTGGCTGATTCACCGATAAAACTGTTTGCTGTGTTAGAACTTTCCTATCTCTGAAGACAATACTAAGAACTCGTTCAAAAACTCAAACGAGTGACCTATCATCCGATCTACCGATTCGTCAAAACTAACTGATAAGTGAGTACCTTTAAAATATCTCCTTCTGCGTTAGTTTAATAAGACACGACTTTTTTACGTCGGGATTTCACTATTATGAATGCAGACTGGGGTCGCATAAATGACAAGAAGAGTCGCTAGGATATGCGAAACTTACGCGGGTTAATAGGGCTCCGATAGCTGCTTCTGATGTCCCCACCACAGCCCAAGTCATTTTGTCCTGGTTCGTACCAAAAAATCTACATTTTGTAGGCTCCAACTTGTGAATACCAGTATGACAATTAGAAGCTCATATAGTCCGCATCCACTTTCGTAACCGTGTGTCTGAAATGCTGGCTCGTAACCCATCCACTCATCAAGCGACGTCCTCAATGAATATGCCCATGTTTATTCTCGACTTTGACACCACGAGAGAAAAACTGGGTAAGAAATTAATCTCGCTCTACGGACCAAAATCTGGGGAACATTTTAAAGAGACACATTCAAGAACGACATGAACTCATGAAGATAAAACAGACAATGCTTGGGCAAATGATCAGGGGTGTAAATAAGGGCTACATATTTTAATAAAAAAAATCTTACATCACCACTAGGTATATAGCCGCCACACGCCATGCTGGCAGACCTTCCGGGACAGGAGTGCCAACCGCAGACTAGAACTTTGAAATTTTTGATCGATCATTTCAGGTCGTATTGTCGTGGCTCTACCCGGAAAATGAGAAATATGCCTGATGCCGGCAACAGCACCAGAAATGGTGGGACTTTCACCTATCGGCAAGAACACATCCATAGTTTACATGAGGAGTACATTTGAAAATAAAGCTGACAAGTGAGAAGATGGGTTTAGAACTGCACCATACAAAACTCATAAGTTATCCTTTCGGAGTATAAATATGACAATAATCTCTATAAAGGACAGTAACTTTAGGCAAAACGCGGACTCCCCAAGTTAATTGTGACCTTTGGTTCAGCATTCAATACCTTCCTCTTGCCTCTAAAATACTTCCTTTAGGTTATGAGTAGAAACTGCACGCACATAAATGAAACATCGCGAAAAGCTTAATTAAGCGAAAATTAGGATGTCTAATATTAATGTAAGAGCTTCTTGAATGGTCTTTTGGTCTGTTCTCTCAAAGGTGGCCTTCAAACAAGAGCTGCAACACGTAAAAGACGCGAAAACAATGGTACATATAGAAAACGCCGGGTAGCTTTCATGTGCACGACGTTTCAACTACGTTTATAAAAAAAGACTAAAAGCTCGCTTTTAGTATTTAGAACTAGGATTTGGCCCGCATCACAAACGCCGGATACACTGTTCACGCGGCATTTCAGCATTTATGGCACGTATAAATTACTGTTGGAACAACCTGGACAAGACTTAACGGTAGAAAACTTAGTCATGCAAAAACGGAGCATATCCACTCTAATACAACGAACCTTTAAACATTTGGAGATACGCTTAGGACTTCTAACACCCCCCGAAGTGCAGCGGATCTAGTTACTGGGGTCACATTCGGCCAAAGCATTTTAGTCTGATTAAACAACTTTCTCAAATATCCGAAGTGCACGTGATATTACCTTTTAGCTAAGTCACTTCACATGGCTTTTGATAC